GAATGCCGGTATATTTTCGATCTTATATAAAGCCTCTTTTCGTACATATATAGAATCTGTAGCAATCCTTACTACTTTATTAGGATCAAATCTCCGAAGCATCTCTAATGAATTAATATGCGCATATGCTAACATTGAGGCCTGCAAATGTGTATATTGAGGTTGATGTCCCTCATAATATGTAAGTATGAATCCGAGTGGATATTTTTCTCTTTTGGCAAAAGTTCCAGCATCAGTACAATCTTTGATCAAGAAATTAAGCTCACTTTTATCTATTACAAGTCGATGAGTAAGGCGTTTTTCATCAATCTTGCCACCTTGTATAAACTTGCTTAGAATTGCACAACTAATATCTTGATTTCTAGGTAGCCATACTTTGGTCTGTTTAGTAAGAGAAATTATTGCCTCTCCAATAGTCACACTTTCTAGAATACCAACCTCAAGAAGATATCGTAGAAGTACAATAGGTGCCCATCGTTTTTCTTTCCCACATCCTTCTCCACTTCGACACGCAAAATGTTTTCTGTACCAGATGAGAATTGCTGAATGTATATTTGATGCAAATTTAAAAGATCTTATCTGCGCAAATCCAGTGATATCATCCTCTGGCAATTCTCCATTTACCGCAACTCGAACAAGGTAGTGTGTTGGATGTCCGAACCTATTAAACCATGGTGTACATTCTCCTTGATCTCGCATACTTGCTGGATAATATTTTTTCATATCGATACATATGATATTATTGACGTGATAATCGGGTGCATTCCAGCATCCACATGCCCATGCTCGACACAGGTTTGTCTTATATTTTCATTTACTTTTCCAGATATTGGATGCCATTTATTGATTTCATTAGTGAGTCGGCTTCCAGCATAGTTTGCGCCAAATACCTGCTCTGCTAAATCAACAACCTTTAAAGACTCTGAAAGAATCGATTTCTTTTCCTTATTGATTATTTCTTCCTGATATTGCCAATCTATTGTATCATTGACCAGTTGTTTGCATACTTCTATAATTTCTGTATACTTTTTCCATGTTCTAAATGTGCGATCATCTTCTAAAACAAACTGGGATATTGTTTGACTCATATCTCCTACTCCCATAAGCCAGATTGCTTGAGACCCCTGAGGGCATTACTGATAGCTTCCCATATATCATCCTTATAATATTTGTCCATTCAATCTCTTGGGAAGTGCTGGTTTCTTGAAAATGCATGGCCATTATGAACTACCATTCCGATTTCTTCATACTTACCTGATCAATACTTTTAACTATTAAATATAGTACTATGAGTTATATCAAGTAATTTAATCGGTCGTTTAAGAATTTTTTCTAACTCTGCTACATCTTGAACTCGAGCACCTGGAATATGCATTTTTTTCTCCCAATCATTTATTTTTTGCCAACTAATTTCTGTAAGTCTATGCCCTCGCTTAATATTATCAAAATGCTCTATTACTCATTAAGCTACACAGTTAAGTGCTCCATCTTTCATAGGTATTAATCGATTGATATCTGGATTTCAAATTTGATATAATTCATACACTACTGCATTACTGTCAAGCTTCCCTATCTCAGATTGCTCACTAACTTCTCTAACCAAAAATTTTTCATCTATTTCTACCCAAAATCCTGGTTTCATTTTCTTTGTAAGTATAACGTTTGGACCACCCCGACATATTTTCTGCCTGCCTTTTTTGATTCACGAATAGGCTCATATTTATTAATAATTTTAAAAGCAATCTTTGTTTGAGATTTATCTCCATATACAGAATCATCTCGAATGAATTTTACCCTTATTAAGAACTCGCCATTATTGATCACATTTAAAATTTCTTGAGCCTGCTTTTCAGTCATCCCAGCCTCAAATTTTTTTGATTCTATTTCTTGTTTCACGTGTTCTAACCAGGCTTTACTTCTTTTATCTGATACTTTATAAGCATCTACTACCAATTTTATAATTTTATTGATTTCTTCTTCTTCTGAATAATTCTGATATAGGTATTGTAAATATACCTCCTGCATAGCTTCATCTTTATTTTCTGCTCCTAATATTACACTGGCCAAATCTATCTCTTTAGCTTTTATAAACCAAGTTGAGAAAGCATATTCGGCTCCATCTACCTTGAACATATCTTTTGCAGTCCGAATTCTATTTTGCCATGTTACACGATGTTCTTTGTTATCAGGAAATGGGACTGGCCATGGTACTTCTATATCTAAATCTAGAAAATGATAAGCTTAAAGATCTGGATTACTAGACTCATTATTATTTGATTCTATTAGATCGAACTATTCTTTATCTGTTTTAGAAACTAATTTGGATCTAATTTTTTTGTTATTTTTTATTTCTGGTTTTGATAACCATTTTATTAGTTTATTTATAGTTAAAACTAATTTCTTTTTTTGCTCTCTATGTATTTGTGTTCTAGGACCTGGTCCAGCTTTAGGATCTGCTTTTGGAATATCACCAGTTAAAAAATCAACTGCCGGCACACTCGGCTAGGCTGGCTGGTGTGTTGGCAGGTTTTTGTCAAATGATATTAAATTCCTTCGGAGGCTAGTGCTAAATTGTCTACTAGAGCTAGAGCTTGAATAGTGTTTCCAGTTTGAGATATATTTTGCACTTGCGTTAGTTGCAAGAGAGCCCGACATGGTCTGAATTGTGTTAAGTCCATATGCTTATTAAGATCTCTTGTTTTCCCAGTTTTAGGGCTCTATCCATATCCTGGGCATTTACTTACCATGTTTTCCAGTATTTTTTATTATATATTAATTATTCAGATCTTTTGTTTAAATAAAAAATATTTATTTCACTTATATATTTTATCTACTTACAAGTTTGTATTCAGATAGGTATTAGTATAGCTAACTAATTTGTTATATCTCACCTTTCACAGTACCTACTCAAACTAGGTTAACTACTTTCTTTTTCTGAACTAGAAAGGAAAAAGGTTTTATGTTTTGCAGTTTTATTCTCACCAGCTTAGCAAGAACACTGCTTCTTCACCCACTTTCTTGCAGTAATTGCTCGAAGCCAATATTCATGATAGCATACTTGATGGTATAGTCGATAGCATTTACATGACATACTTGAAGGCATAAATGTAACACACTCAATAGCGTATTTGATAATAATTACGCAACATATATTTGATAGCATAGCCTGATAGCTTATTCATGATAGTATAATCGATAACATTTATGTGATATAAGCATATATATTTGGTAGCATTAATCGGGCTCTTTAGGGGCATCTCTTAGAGACATAGCATAACCAGATATCATGTATATAGCATACTCAATAGCAATTATGCAACGTATATTTATAGCATTTCCCGATAACATTTATGATGCTATGTATCGAGCATTTTTTTATTAAGAAAACAAATTATATATCTTAGGTTTTAAATCACTCTGCTCTATTAAGAAAACACATTATATAATTTAAGAGTTTTAAATAGATTTTTAATCAAAGAAGCAAATTATATTTCTTAAGTTTTAAGTCACTTCGCTCTCCCAAGAAAACAAATTATATTTCTTAAGTTTTAAATTGTTTTGCTCTGTCAAGAAAACAAATTATAGTTCTCAGTTTTAAATCTTTTCACGTCATCAAGAAAACAAACTATAGTTCTTGGGTTTCTAGAGATTAAAAACCTCTAAGACCAAAAAAAGTCTGCTTGCTCTCCCTGCTGCTCAAACAAACTCTCTTCAAAATACATGGCCACACCTCAAACTACCTTCTATGAATTGTTTTATTAATACAACCGATCAATATCACCCTTCTTAAACTTCCCCTTCAAATTATTATTTAATAGTCAATATACTGTTTTCCTTCATCAAGATAACCCCCAACAAATTACACTATATGAAGTTAACCAACTTGAGGAAATATTTATTGGTCAAACAAATCTAATAGAATCTTTTA